TGGGAGGGGCTCTTCCCCACCATTTGACAGGATGACCCTAATTTACCTTGAGTAAGTAAAAGTTTGTTTGGGTTTTTTCAGATCTTCTCAAAGGAGTGTGTTCCTTTATTTCCCTCAAATGTATGGCTTTATCTGGCCATTCACAAACTTTTCAACACCAAAAACCCATTTTATAATTCCCCGTTACCTCAGGCCTCTTCTTTTGAAGGACTTTGTCCACCAAGCTACACACTGGGTTTTTAAATTCTCTGTGAGTTAAATATGACCAGCAAAAAAAGAGAATTTCAGCCAAAAATGAAAGAAATTGAGACTTTACTTAGGTAAAGCATGATTTTTCTTAGGCCTTTTCTTGAAATGTGGAAGATAACTCCATGGTCCCAGTCACTACCCTTTTAGATAAATCCTCAGGACTCCTGTGAGCTGGATTTGAAACCACTGGTCTGATTTAGTCAACACAGTTCACTTCGTGGTTGACCTGGGGGAGGAATCACTCTCTCCCACTGCTCCTACCTTTGGGTCAAGCCAAACCACATATCAATGAGATTCCATATTTCTTTAGTTCAGAGATGCCCCAACATTTAAAAAATTGAAATATAGTTTACATACAGTGAAATTCACACTTTTACTGTGTAATTCTGAGTTTTGACAAATGCATACATTCATATAACCACCACCACAGTCAAGTTACAGAACAATTACATTACCCCCAGACCTCCCCGTGTGCCACTATACAGTCATCCTTTCTACTTCTAGCCCCTGGAAACCACTGATCTATTCTTTGTCCCTTAAAGTCTCCCTTTTACGGAGTGTCACGTAAAGGGAATCATACAGATTGTAGATTTTTGTGTGTAGCTTCTTCTGCTTAGTAAAATGCATCTGAGATTTATCCGTATTATTGTGTGTATCTGTAGTTGTTTTTCCTTTTTTATTGCTGAGTAGTATTTCATTGTACGGCTATACTACAGCTTGTTCATTCAGCAGTTGATGGACATTTGGGTGGTTCCACATTTTGAATAAAATCACTGTAAATACTTGTATACAGATTTCTGTAGGAAAATAAGTTTCCATTTCACTTGGATAAATACGATTGCTGGGTCATATGCTAAGTGCTTATTTAACTTTGCAAGTTAACTTTTTGTTTTCTAAAGTGATTATACCATTTTGCATTCCCACCAGGAATATATGACAGTTGTAGTTGCTCCCCAGCCTCACCAGGACTTGATACTGTCAATTTAAAAAAAAATTTAGCTATTCTAATATGTGTACAGTGGTTCTTATTTGAATTTCCTTAAGAACTAATCCTATTGTGCATATTTATTTTGTCATCAATAGATGTTCCCTGGTGAGCTGCCTATTCAAATATTTTGCCCATTTTGAAAAATTGGATTGTTTGCTTTCTTACTGAATTTTGAGAGTCCATTATGTATTCTGAACATAGTAAGTCCTTTATCAGTTACGTGTCTTACAATAATGTTCTCCTAGACTGTGGCTTGTCTTTTCATTTTCGTAGCAGTGTTTTTTGCAGAGCAGAAGTTTTTTATTTTGATGAAGCCTGATTTAACCATTTTTTTTAATAGAGTGTGTTTTTTTTGGTGTTGTATGTAAGAAGTTTTTGTCTAATCCAATGTCACAAAGATTTTCCTCTTGTTTTAGGAATTTTATAGTTTTAGGTTTTACATTTATGTCTCTGGTGCATTTTGAGTTAATTTTTCTATAAGGTATGGAAAATACGGATCAAGGATCAGGGTTCTTTATATATATATATATATATATGAATATCCAATTGTTTCAACATGATTTGTTGAAAAAAATTGTGTTTTCTCCATTGAATTGCTTATGTACCTTGGTCAAAACTCAACTGACTATGTATGTGTGGGTTTGTTTCTGGGCTTCCCCCCTTGTACCAGTCACCAATACCACTTGGTCTTGATTACGCTCCTTCCATAGTACGTATTGAAGTAAGATGGTATGAACCCTCCAGCTTCATTTTTCTTTGTCAGAGGTGTTTTGACTCTTCTAGGTCCTTTGCCTTTCCGTATAAATCTTAGCATCAGCTTGTTGACTTCTACAAAAGTGTGCCGAGATTTTGATTTGGATTATGTTGAACCTATCAATCAACTTGGGGGAAATTGATATCTTAACAGTGTCTAGTCCTCCAATTTGCATACTCACTGGTTTAGGTATTCTTTGATTTCTTTTCCTAGTTTTATTAGTGTGTTTTAGTTTTCAGCATGCAGGTCCTATAGATATTTAGTAAAAACTTATACCTAAGTATTTCATGGGTTTTTTTTTTTTGCTTTTTTGCTATAAATGGTAATGCTTTTTAAACTTACATTTTCAGTTGCTCATTGCTAACATGTAGAAATACAGTTGGCTTTTGCATACATGTTGTGTTCTCCAACCTGGTTAAACTTACTGGTTCTAATAGCATGCCTTAAGATTCCTTGGGATTTTCTATGTAGATTTTCACATCACCTGCAAATTGAGACAGTTTTGTATTTGCTTTTGCAATCTATGTGTTTTATTTTTTCTTCTTACTCTATTATATTGGCTAGGATCTCTAGCACAATGTTGTATCAACCTTTATACAATAGACACTTTGATTTGAGAAAAGGCTTTGTTATCACCACAAGATGATGGTAGAATTACTATATTCTCCTAAGGAATCTTGCTTCTAAGGAAACAGCTGTTAACATTCAGCTCATTAATAACAAAACTTAACATGTATAGATCAATTGTTGCATCTAAGATCCAGTACTCTGCAGTTTATTTATATTATTTCATTTGATCTTTACATCAGTCTTTTGAGATAGATATTATAAACCCCATTTTTGTTTTTTTCCCTTAACAGAAGCCCTGGGGATTGAACCCAGGACCTCAAGCATGCCAAGCCCAGGCTCTACCACTGAGCTATACCTCCCACTCCTTCTTAACCCCATTTTTGAAATGAAGAAAGTGAGGCTCGAAGAATTTAAGAAACTTGCCTTAGATAACATAGTTTATTCCTTTCAGATGGTGAATTCACATCTATTACTTCCCATCTCCAAAGCCCGTGTTCCTCCCACTGTACTAGACTGCTTATGGTCCAAATCATTTTCAGCAGATTTCAGTCCTGTCTTCACATGAGAGGCCTTTGAGGAACTGTTAAAAAATTACGACTACCTGAGTCCTTCCCACCCCACCCCAAAACCAAGTAAATATGAGTCTCTGGGGCTGGAGCCTGGACCTGGGTACTTTTTAGAGAACTCCCAGTCGATCCTGAACTGAAGTCAGGGCTGAGAACACTGGCCCTGCAACTCCCGAAGACAGGGGTCCTCCTCCCCTTACCGCATAGTGACCCGAGGTGCCTGGTCCTCGGGTCTGGAAGCAGCGGGTAACGAATGCGTAGCAGGAGGCAACTGCTACGTCTGCTTTGGGCCTGGGAGGCTCAGGGCTATAAAAGGCAAAGCTTTCTCCTTCATTTATTAAATGCTAGTAAATCCAAGGAGTGTGTCATGGTATTTTAACATCAACTTATCACACATGTTTGTGCTGGCTTACAGTTGAAATCTTGATGAAAAACAGGTGGGACTCCTCAAAGCTGCTGTTGAGGACTTAATGGCTTACAAAAAGATGCTAATGAAAAAGTCTGATGAGAGGAATGTTGCCATTTCAGAGGATATGGGGGGCAGGGGTGGGGTACTCTTATTTCTCCGAGGGATTTGGCCTGCTGGGGCATCTTTCAAAGCAGAAAGCCAGATTCCTTGCATCTCTGTGGGAGGCAATAGTATTGCTGAAATGTGCTCCGTGGAGTAGCCATAGTTACTAAGAAATGAAACTTTCTCTCCAACATGGCAGATTGAGTCTACGGTTGAGTTATTGGCAGGACAAAATCATTGCATTTTTGGGCCAGTTACTGCTAAAGCTTTAGGGTGCCTGTAGAACTTCTCCCACCCCAGGTATGATCTCCAGGCTGGGTAACATTACCCTGTTGGAAAAGTTTCTATAACTTGGACCGCATTGTTGTTGTTACTATCTTAACTTTACTTTTTCCCACAATAAGGATAAAATTGTGGAAAGCTTAGAAAATGCAGAACAGTAGGCAACTTAAGGCTGAGGAAAGGTGTTGCTAGAACTTTCTGTGCTAGACCTTTCACACAGAATGCCTCGCAGAGTCCTCACAAGCACTCTTAGGAGCAGCAATATTCCTGTTCTCAGATGCGAATCCTGAGGCTCAAGTGATTGGCTCAGAGCCCCCACCGCGAGGCAGGCGGCCTGGCCCCACAGCTCCTCCTCCCACACTCCTCACAGCCATAGGACATTTGGGAATCTTTTCTTTCAGCATCTCTTGTTTTGAAGCAAGAATTTATATTTCGACATGATGTTTGGGTTCCATAATTTTTTTTTTTTAAGTAGAG